ATTCACGGGGCAAAAGTACTAGTATAGTTAATATGACTGTCAACCAAGCAATATTGATGTTTTAACGGGGCTAAAAAATATTAAAGAAAGAAAAAAAGTTCAAAAAAAAATGTCAACGCCGGAGACCGGCGGCGATGGGCGAATTGTACTCGAAATTGAATTTTGGGTCAAAATTGAATTATTTGTGAAATTTGGGATCAAATTGAGGTTAAATTAAATTAAATGATGAAATTAGAGCATATTAAAATATGATAGGGTATTTTAATCTTTTAGACACCTCTGGACAATGTGTGAATTTTTTTGTAACTTTTTTTTTTATCTGAACCACTTTATGAATAAGTATGCCATGATGGATTCTAATAAATAAATAGTTAATTGTAGACTTGTGTGAAATTAATAATTTAGAATTTAATTTTAATTAATAAGTTGAAAATTGGTCGCTATACCAGTACCCGAGTCTTATTAGATTAAATATTTTATTTAATACTAAAAATAGTGATAAAGTTCATTATATTGGTATAAGTATTTTTTTCAGCAACACTGTAAAAGATGGTTGATGTCAGTATATGATAGCAACCATATGAGTAGTTGCATGTTAAAGAATGCTTAAAAGTAGGAGTGTGCATGGGTCGGGTCGGGTAATTATCAGCTAATTACCTTCCCAACCCGACCACTCGATTTTGCAGAAAATAGAAAACTATTATCAGTCAGACTATTATGGGTCAGATAATGGTTGGCAACTATTTTTGTCGGGTAAACAATGGGTGGTTGGTTGGTATTATCGACCATCTATTTATTTATTTATTTTTTTTATAAATTTTTTACAGTAATATGATATTTTTAAAAGAATTTCAAAATTTACTCAAAAAATCTGAAAATTTTATGTTGTAAAAATCTTAACTTTAAAATTAAGACTTTTTTTTTTATATTAAACTTTTACAGTAAGTAAATATATAATGAAAAATATAATATAAGAACTATAAAATAGAAATAGTACGGAGATGTTTATAAATTTGTGTTTTGACTTCTTGATAACGTATTTTATATATTATTTAACATTAAGAAAATAAAAAATTACAATTAAATATTATAATAAAAAAATTATTAAAAAAGTCGGTAGACCGATAATATCGGCCAACCGACTTTAGAGGAAACTGAAAATCACCGACCGATCCATTTATATATCGGTCGGTTAAATTATCGACGCGACAACAAAATTATTGACCGATAAAATTATCGTCCGAAAGAAGCGGCTCAAAAGTGGGTCGGTTAGCCAATAAAACCGACACATGTCCGGCCCCTACTTAAAAGACTTCTACAACTATTCGTTATTTTGTTATTAAATAATTGGTTGATGTTAATATTTATTTACGAATACCACATAAAATTCTGGCTAAAGGCTACCAACTCTGGTTGCTATATACTAGACACGGCCCCGGGTCGGGTCGGGTCCGGGTCCGGGTCGGACCCGCCGGGTCCGGGTCCGAACCGGATTTTGAAACTTTTTCCAAAATATGCTTCAAATGGGGTTCGAACCTGGGTTGTAACGCACTTGAAAAGGAATCCGAACCACTGTGACAAGATAAACATTTGGTAAATTACTTGCAAGAAATATAAATATACCATATAAACACAGTATAAAATGATTTAATAAATAATGTTAAATGGATTGTTAATTATCATATTCATAATTATTAAATAATTTTAATTACATTATTAACAAATATAATATCAAAATTAAAAGGACTTTAGATTAATCCATTTAAATCTTACGATTCGATTCGATTCTAATATTTGAATAAAATGTAAATGTAAAAAAAAAAGATTAAATCATATGATCTACGATTTAATTCTTACGATTTTTACAAACTAAACCAATTATTTAAAGCACATTATAATATTTTGATTATACTAGTCATATATAATGTTATTTTTAAAGTAAGAATATTAATTGAAATGAGATATAATCTATTTTTGTTAAAACAAACATCATTTATATTTTTAAATAATTATCTTATAATAAAATCCTCAATAATATTAATAAGTTCTTGTCAATAATTGAGGTAAATCGATTTAAATTAATTGAAATGAGTTATAATCTATTTTTTTAAATAAACATATTATTTTATTTTTCAATCGATTTTTTCACACTATCGATTTTAATAACATAAGTTAATTTGTAATAAGTCAACGCATTTGTTTATATATTGAATTGATTCAATACTTTATATTTTTCAATAGTGGAGATTATATTGATATAGTAATTAATAATAGATGTTTTGATGTATTGAACCGTGATTCTATATATTTTTTTAAAAGTTTCTTATATTGCATTTGTTAATTATTTAATTAAAATTATTTAATAATAATTAATATGAGAAATGTTTCATAATTTCAAAATTAAAAAAAATTTCAAAATTCAATCTTTCTTTTAAATTAAATCGTAATTATTTATATATGCATTTGTTATTAGGGGAGATTTTTAAATATATATGTATTTGTTATTAGGTGAGATTTTTAATATTAAAGATAACGAACCTGACAATTAATAATTTATTAACATTAGTTATTCAATTGTTATAATTATTTTATAGTATTATTTGTAATTATATATTTATAGTTAAGAATAATATTGCAATAAGTTACTTTGCCCGAGTGGTTAGTGCTCACTAATCCACTCGGGTTACCCGGGTTCGAAACCCAGAAGCGCATTTTTGGTGATTATTTCATCAGAAATCCGGGTGGACCCGACGGGTCCTCGGGCCGGGCCCTCGGGTCCGGGTCTTCGGGTCCACCCGCCGGGTAGACCCGGCGGGTCTCGGGTCCAAGAAGTCGGGACCCGAAACCGACCCATACTTGGCCGGGTCCGGGTCCGGGTCCATGGTCAACGGGTCGGGGCCGGGGCGGGGCGGGGCAGTCAATGGGTCGGGTCCGGGCCGGGTCCGGGTCAGACCCGACCCGTGGCCATGTCTAGCTATATACTACTACCAAGTCTTGTTTACAATGACTATTTATAGCCACCAAATATCAATTCACTGTAAATACTTTTTAGATAATTTAACATTTGCAATCAAATTATTATTGGTTGCTAGTTGCTACTTGTGTATATTCATGCGACCATTTTCTTGTTATGAGAATATGATGATCGATCAATCAAATTAATTATTTGTTAATGACAATTACAAAATTATTGCAACTTTCATTCATTTTGTTATTAGATTGGTCATTGTTCACATTATTTTACGGACTATTTAAAAGCAAGTCGCTAAACACTATATTCATGGTCGCAATATATATATAACTACTCAAAGGCTCGCCAAACAACAGTACCCATTTTCGGCTATCAAATCTTGGATGGTCTCACAAAAATAAAATAAATACAAGTACCTTCACTTTTGAAACAAAATTATTATTGATCTCTATGTACTATTATCGCTAAATATTTGGTTGCTAAAACTATTTTTTCTCGTAGTGAGCTGAAGTTGCATTAAAGAGCGTTTCCAGGTGGTAGAACCTCCTCTGACAATATACGGTTTTCATGAGGCTAATCTTGAGCCGCCATCCAAACAAATACCTTCGTTTAAAAGATTTGTTTTGGTGTAGAAAGTTCCAGATTCTGGATCTTTAAACGGCGCGAATTTCCTGAGAAACCAAGTCATATGGACGTAGGTTCATGGCTAAGCCGACTGCTCCAAGAGCACTCATCCATAAACCGGTTAGTTGTACAAATAACATAAAGAAATTTAACCAACGTGTAGTAAAAAAAAAAATCAACCCCAAAGATTTAGTACCAAAAGCGGTCAGCGGTGACCATGTAATAAGTTTCTTCAGCTTGAGTTCGGTTAAGAACACGAAATGTACGTATTTGCACCATCACCATCTTCAAATAAAGTATTTTCTCCGGTATCACCATGAATACCACATAACAAAGCAGCCCCCAATACATCGGAAACTCCGATCATATGAAATAAGTTCAGCGTACAATTATGAAATCCTTGAAAAAGTGACAAATGTAAGATGTGTTCACCCACAATTAATATTGTGATTCCATCATACGAATCCATTTTAATTGTGACTACCACATAGGGGTGAAAATCGGATGGATCGGATCGCAATTAGTCTTTTCGGAAAATTTTCGAAAAAATCCGGAAGTATAAAATCAATTCCTATTCCAATTCAAAAATTATCGGAATCTAAAAATTCATTCCATTTCCAAAAGGCCCGAAAATTTTGGAATTTCGGAAAAAAATCGGAAATCACATAAGCTTCAAAATTTCAAAACCTAGTCGAAATTTTCTAAAATGTTCATAAATTTTTCAAAAATAAGAATATCCACGTCGATAAAAGTAAAACTAATAACTACTAAATTTCAGATCAAAAAAATAAATAAAAATAAACACAACATAATGTCCAATAAAACTTCTAACAACAATTAATTATGTCAAAATCCTAAAACAAAATTATAGGTATACTTTTCGGAAAGTAAGTATTATATAATAGATATTATTTATAGGTGTATTTTTTGGGAAAAAAATCGGAATTTTTCGGAATTAGTTTCGGAATTAAATCGGATCGGAAATCGAAAATTCCAGATTTATTATATATAATCTCAATTTCAATACAAAAAAATCGGAAAAATTCAAAAATCGGAATTTCAGAAGTTATAATAAAAAATGTTGTTCCAAAATCGGAACTTTTTTCGGATTGAGACCGGCCGGAAATTGGAAATTTCTCTCCAAACTTGCACCCCTACTACTACATTAAGGCATTGCATATTAAAATGGATAGATAACCGAAAAAAGATTATCCACGATTTTCAATAATTGTAACCCCACAAAATTTTCCTAAATATGGTAACAAAATCTCCATTATGAAATAACATTCTATATTATACGCATTCTCCATTTAATTAGTTTGATATAAAAAGACCCTTCCCTCAATCCACAAATTAAAACTGAAAACAAAAACAATAAGCCAAAAACAAAACACACAAAAAAAAAATGGCTTCCATTTTTGTTTTAGCCATTCTATCACTCTCCCTTCTATTCATCAGTTGTGAAGCAGATTTGATAGGCACTATTTGTGCCATATCAGTAAACCCTTCTCTATGCACCAGCATTCTTCGATCCGACCCGCGAGCTCGTACGGCCGATCTACGAGGTTGGGGTCAAATCTTTGTCGAGAAAGCCAAAGTCGCCACACAGGACACAATTTCCGCAGCTAAATCGGTTGGTGGGTCCGGGAAACCGGCAGCCGATACGTGTGTGAGTGTTTGTGGCGACGCGATCGATAACCTAAACCAATGCTCTGCGTACTTGAAGGCTTCGAGCAGAGCTAGAGTCGGCGATTTGCCGACGAAAGGGTCGGCGGCTCTGACTGATGTCAGCACGTGCGACGATGAATTTCGAGATAGCGAGCCGGCTAATGTGAAGCAAGCCAGCCGCAAAGCGCAGGATATCATCGACATGCTTCTAGTGGTTGCGAATAGTTTGTGAGGGAGATAGCAAATGTTGTTTATTTGTGTTTTATGCATTGGTTGGTTTGTTGACCAGCAAATAATAAATTTGAATAATGGGCATATGAGAGAATTTGAATAATATATTTCTATTTTTTATTTACAATTTTAAAGAGTTAATTGCAAATATCACTCCTGTGTAATTTATAATTGCCAAATACCCCCTGTAAAACAAAACTTTCATATACCCCTATGTGTTAACATTTTCGAAGCACACTGCATCTTTTTTTATTTTAGACTTTGACTAAATGTAAAAAGACTGAAATGTCCTAGGTTTTTTCAGCAATTAGTACATGATAATTGATTCTACGGGTCTTAAGATATAGGTACCTAGTGACAAAACTAATTAGAACTAAATGACAAGCTCAACTAAACATTTGCTTCACATCCTTTATTACATTCATTCCAAAAATGCCCTTTCACTCATCTTTATTTTTTCAATTTACACTCTGCATTTTTTATATTATTATAAACATTTTTTTTCTTATTTATAACATTTCTTTTGAAAATTACGATTCTTTTTTTCTTTTTTTAAATAATTCAGCAGATTTCAAAAATACTATAGTATACTATGGTGTACTATGTTATACTATATTATTATAACCAATTTTTTTGAAAATTACGATTCTTTTTTTCTTTTTGCTAAATAATTCAGCATATTTCAAAAATACTATAGTATACTATGGTGTACTATCGTTTCTACACTATTATTAAAAAATATTTTTTTCTACAATATTATTAAAAATTACAAATCAAAACCTGTTTTTCCTTTTTGTTAATTCAATATATATATATATATATTTATTTTTTTAATATTTTATTTGTTGTAATACTATAGTAGACTTAGACTATGGTATACTACAGTGTACTACCAAACCCTAGCCGCCAACAACACACAACCCTCATCAACCCTAGCCGTCAACGTCAAACCCTAGCAGCCAACATCTGCAGCCGTCGCAACCGTAACCTACCAACTTTGGGAAAACCTAGATTTACGATTTTGAACCCAAATCAAGAAAAATCTCTTGAAGATCAAGATCGAATCTCCACCATAACCACATCCTCGCCGCCATCTCGACCACCACAGCCGGCCGTCATCTCGACAGCCACAACCCACCGGCGCCGACTCCTTCACCACAGCCCCCGCCGCCGCCCACAACACCTCGCCGCCATCTCAACCACCACAGGCCGCCGCCGCCTCCTCCACCCCAGGCCCTCGCCGCCGCCCATAACACCTCGCCGCCATCTCAAAACACAGCCCGTCGCCGCCACCTCCTCCACCGCAGCCCCCGCCGCCATCTCAAAACACAGCCAGCCGCCGCCTCCTCCTCCACCACAACCCCCGCAGCCGCCTCCTCATCCACCACAACCCTTGGCTTCGACTATTACCAAATTAATTAGCAAGAGAGAGGTATAGAGATAGAGAGGTGAGAGAGAGATGGAGAAAAAAAAACGAGAGTGAAAAAAGAGATAAGAGTACGTGTGAGAGAGAGAGGGGGAGAGAGAACGTGAGAGAAACAAAAGAACGAAATAAATCTGAATAGGAGAAACGAGAATATGTAGGTTATATAATTTAGGGTATAAGGGCAAGATATGGATTAAAAAAAAAATTAGGGATGTGGCTCATATATTATTTCAAATTAAGAATTTAATTAAAAAAATAAATTTAAACTTGTCATTTAGTTCAAATTAGGTTTCGTTTGAGGGGCTCATAGCATATTACCCCTTGATTCTAATTACACCAAATTTTATATTATATTTAACTAATTTTATATAAAATAAAATTATTTTGTAATTACAAAAAGTAAAAATTATATAAACAAGAATTAAAATATATTGTAATATTAAAAGTTTTTATATGTGTTGTAATGTTGTATTTTACATTTTATATTAAAATAATGATATGAACAAAATTAATCAAGAAAAAAAAAAAATCACGCCTCCTTCGTGCACCACCACAACCTTCTTCTCCAATCTCCGGTGAGGTATGGTCGCTGCTCGGAGTAGCCTATGATGATTGGCCGATGATGGAAGGGGGAGTGTGCTGCCATGGAGGTGACATCCATGGCAGACGCAACAAAGTTGCAGGGGGTTGGGGTAAGGTGTGGCGGAGGAACTAGGCGGTGTCGAGGAAGAGGAATTTGAAGGAGGGATGGGCGGCGATGATGCAAGACGACGCCGGTGTCGAAGGAGAGAAATTTGAAGGAGTGGGTGGGTGTCGGTGGGGCCAGACGGCGGCAGTGAACTTTGGGGAAGAAGGTGTGAACTTTGGAAATTACAATTTGATCCTATAAATTTAGATTATTTATAATTAGACCAATCTGTTTTTTTCTTTCTTTATGAAGGGGTATTTATGCCATTTTCTTCCAAAAAATAGCGTGAATAATCGCACAACTGGCGAGTGAGACGCACGATTTGCCTGCAGGGGTCTTAATGCATTGACTTTGTTAACACAGGGGGGCATGCGTGAATTTTTTTATGACAGGGGGTATTTGGCAATTAGAGATTACACAGGAGTGATATTTGCAATTAACCTCAATTTTAAATACAACTTACATAAGGGTTCCGTAGATGCTACATACACACATTACCATAGATTTAAAAATAATATATATATATCATGGAGAAAATTTAGAGGGAATTGAAGGGTTATGATAATTTTTTGTGAATATAATGTTTGTTCGAGCGGGAAAATGAATCTGAATTATTTTGGTAGATATTGAGCGCATTCTACATTTTATCTTTTTATTTTTATAACTTTTTTTTGTTGAGAAGAATTGTACGATAAATAACCATGTTATGATGCCCTGCAAGTGGCGTCGTTATCCTACCGTTAGTTTATGGCATTTTAATTGAAAGCGTCACAAAATATATTTTTTGTTGATTAAACAAATGAATAATAAATTCACGGGACAAAAGTACTGCAATAAAGGGTCATAATAGAAAAAATATTGAGACGCGTTTCTAATAGCGTCGTACTCCAATGGTAGGTATTAAAATGAGACATCTAAACCATTAATTGATGCTTGAAATAATACTTTGGTACTTCGAAAAAACTTAGATCCTCCAACCCGTAGGAACCAAATAAATTATTTTATTTTAAAAAATGTATTAAACATAAATTAAAAGATATATTTGGTCCCTATTCCATAGGACTTTGTTAGAAAATTTATTCTTTTTACGTTGAAATTGCAGTTCCTAATTTCTAGGAATATTTGATACTTGGTTTTTTTGGGTGCATTTTTGCACCTCTAGGAAATAAAGTATCAAAAAAACTACCCTTTTGGTGCTTCCGTTGGAGAAGAAATTTTGAGTTTTAGGAATCAAAATGGAAGTTTTATCATTTAATACTCCATTTGATTCCCCCATTGGAGTTGCTCTAAAGCATTATTAGAGGGTCACAATAGCCTATTTTTCAGGTAGTGATAGTAATATAAATTTTCGGAGTAATATTAATTTTAAAAGTAATATTAGTTTTCACAATAGCATTAATTTTGACAGTGACATTAATTTATACTTAGGCATGACCACAGTTCAGTTCGGTTCGGTTCCGGTTCCGCTTCCGATTTTGGAGGAAAATGGAACCGAACAGAATATTTCCGGTTCGATTCTAAACTGGTTCCGGTTCAGTTCCCAGTTCTAACTGGTAGGACCGGACGGTTCTTAGAAATAGTTTTTTATTGTCTTTTTAATATGTAACTTAAAAAAAACTTTTAAAAAACTTTGAAAAAGGTTAATTTGTTTTAAAAAAAAAAGAATACTTAAAAAACTTATTCGTTTTTCTAAAACAAATTTAAAGTTTTTTTTTTAAATACTTCAATATATATATATATATATATATATACCATAAATTAATATATATATAATTTTTTTTTAGAAAATCAGTTCCACCGGATCTCGGTTCTGAAAATGGTGAACCAGAACCGGACCGGTTTTCTTGGTTCCGGTTCACTTCCAAAACCGTTGACCCCCGTTCAGTTCCAGTTCCGGTTCCGGTTCTAACCAAACCGATGATCATGTCTAATTTATGCTACAATTTTGTGGCAGTAACATTAATGTTTTTTCACAGTAATATTAGTTTTTTTCACATGATAATATTAATTGTTTCATCACAGTAATATTAATTTTCCACATTAATATCGCATAGCATGATGGTAATATTAATATTAACACAGTAAAATTACTGTCTCAGACAGTGAGACAGTAAAATTAATGTCTCAAACAGTAAAATTATAGTATGAGACAATACTATTAATATTAATACAGTAACAAACAGTAATATTACTGAAGACAGTAATATTACTGAAAAAGAGTAAAAAAGCAAATGTAAAAAAAAAGTTGCAGAAGTTTTTTTCGAGGGAGAGACAAAATTGATCTTAAAATTGATTTAGGGGTCAAAATTGGTTAATTGGTTAATTGGTGAAATTTAAATCATGAAATTGGGGTGAATTGGGCAATGAATTATGGATTATTTTGGCATATATAAAAGTATTTTCCTTATAAACAAATAAGTTAAAATGGTGTGGTCTGTGTGGATATATCTACAAAATTAAAAAAATAGGATATCCCTCTTTTAGTAACCCTTGTAATGGGTCTATTTACAATTTGCCCTATTAAATTTAAGCAAGATACATCTTATACGTAAGGGGCCTTAAGCATTGACGAGTCCAGGAGTGTGATATAGGGTGGACTTAAATTTTCAGGGGTACGGGGGCAGCTCCCACGAAAAAACTTTCGGACTTTTTTGTGACAAAATAAAAAGAATAGGTGCAAAAGAAGAAAAAAGGGGTTTTTTTTTTGCATAATTTTGAATTTTGTGTGGACTAATTAATACTAATTGTGGCTTTTTTGGGCAAATTAATAAATATTGAATGGGCTTAACGGATAATGCATTGGATACGTTATTCCGATAGAGTTTTAACGGATTATCAGTTTCAGGAAGTGGTGGAGACAACAAACAGCAACGGGCGATTTAAGAAAAGTTGGGGAAGCTATGTCATCCCCTAACTCTATGTTGTCTCCGCCACTAGATAAAAGTAATAGTCCATTAGAAATTTATCGAAATAACATATCCAATGTATTATCCTATTACAGTTTCTAACTATGTTTCAGTGGGGTGGGTATACTTATCAATACCACAGAGACATTAAAGCTATTTAAGCATACCCAGGGATGTGGGTGTAATTTACCCAAAAAAATAGTAACAAGCATTCCAATATCTTGAACATAAAATCTTTCCATTTAATACATCTCATGTAAAACTAACACCGGTACTTTCTCAATTCTTGTAAAAAGAAACTTCTAAGATTTAATTACCGACAAACTACACTTGCAAGCAATCTTCAAACATGCAAAACAAAGTATGACTTGGCCATAAAACTCACTGCAAAAATGTCTTTGGTATTGTTTATGCATCCATAGTAACTTATTGAAATAATCATATATCAATGGAATTCAAATAAATAAATAAAATCTAAATCGAAGAGCCTTTCATAAGAGATCAATACCAAGTATTAGGCCAAGCAATCTTCAATCGTACAACCTACTGTCTCTATACGTTTCCCATGACTGCAAATACTAGTAGAAAATTTGCTTATTACTACGAATTTTTTTGTTACGGTAAAAAACCGTAGTAAAATGTACAATTTACTACGGAATAATTTTGAAGTCCTAGTAAATACTAGGATTTACCGTAGCAAAAAAGTATTTGGTACGGCCATTTACCATAGCAAAACTTTTGTCACGCTTGTATATGCTACGGGACAGATTCGTAGCAAATGCGTAGCAAAAGCCTTTTTAGTACGAATTTGATATCTTTTGCTACGGTTAACGGTCATAGTAAAAAGTCATTTTTCTACTAGTTTTTTTTTTTTTTTTTTTTTTTTTTTTTTGGCCGAAAAAACTTTATTATTCCATTATTATCGAAAGACTCGGGGCCTCGTTAAAAACCTTGTGGGCCTACACAAGGTAAAAGAGTACCCCTACAATGGTAATAAAAAGTCTGGGGCAACCCTAACCTTTCTAATACAAAAAGGCCCTAAAATGGGGCTAAAATGAAATAAACTATAAAGCTGCCTAATAAAGCTAAAAAAACGAAAATAACATAATTGCCCCCATTTGTTGCCACTAATGTAATTATCCAAAATATCTTCTTTGCCAACTTCCATTATCACCTGACGAACACTGCTCTTCCTATTCACCATCATTATCCCAATATTTGCTGGAATTGCTAGAATGACCCCCACCCAAGTTGCTAGTAAAAATGCATTTGCTTGCCAATTCCACCAGCCTGCCTTGCTTTTAATTTGCGCCCTCATTTGCTTCTTGAAAATCTACGAAACTGAGGAATTCCAATCCTATCGTGAAGTAATAAAGGTCTAATACAGCGAGGAAGTTCGTTTACAACTTTAAATAGCTTCCTCTCTTTGTGCTCATGAGCCAACTTAGCTAACCCATCTGCCACCCGATTACCCTCTCGATAAATATGCATCACGTGCCAATCGTCCTTGAGAAGTCTTCTAATGCATCTGATGACGTAAATTAACTCCCATGCAACTATGGCTTTATGATAAATCATATCGATAACTAATTTGGAATCTGACTCCACTTTAACCTGTGTAAAACCCATCTCATGACAAATTCGCAACCCATCGAGAATTGTCTGCGCTTCTGCAAGAATGTGATTACCTTGACCGTAAAAATTAGAAAAGCCTCGAATAAAAGATCCATCATGAGTCCGAATTAACCCACCACCGGAACATTCATCCCCTTTTCTTGAGCCGTCCACGTTGACCTTGACTTGAAGTGGATTCGGAGGGTTCCACTTTATCCAGCTGCCCCTAGTCAATGGAGGTGGCTTAACCTCCAAATTTAATTGTTGGATTATGAGGCGACCCATCAGTTTCATTGGGCGTTTTCCCAAGAAAGCGTCGTTCAAAGCTCGAAGATGTGAGAATATACTTCGAGTAATAGTGGTCGTATTCATCGGAGTATCCTCGAAGATTGCCCTGCACCGACTTTTCCAAATCTCCCAACAACCGAACATGAGAGTACCAAGCTCCATAAAACCGTCTTGAGTATTAATACTAGCATCAACCATCCAAACTTGAACTAGATGCTTCATAGATCCATAAACATAAGGTTTCTGCCAAATCCGTGCGTAATTACTCCAAACACCACGAGCAATATCCGACTGAATGAATAAATGAGAAAGACTTTCTTGCTTAGGAGCAGCACAACACCAACATTTGGATGGAGTCATGCAGCCCCGCCTTCGAAGAGCCAAGTCCACCGGGATCGCTCCATATGACAGTTTCCAGAAAAATGCACCTATGTTATATGGAATTTTAGGATGCCAAATTTTTTTCGCCAAAGGATTCGGAGAAGCTTTGGAACGGATCAACTCCCAATAGTCAGCCACATTAAAATTCCCAGAAATCGATTTTGTGAAGATTAATCTATCCTCAACCCTCTCATCCAGTTCAATAAGATCGAAGATCGTTTGTTGTTCCGGCTGCAGTTGAGGAGTAAATTGTTGCGGCTGTTCCTTAGCCTCCCTGAAAGAGATAGATTGAGTTTCATCAAGACCTTCATTGTCGATCCAACGATCTCTCCAAAAATCGATATCCCCTTTTCCCACGATCCATCTACTATAATTCTCCAAGAGTTGTAGATGAGGGAATAATTCTCGCCACAGTAAAGAAGCATGAGCTGGAATTTGGCTTTGAAAGTCATACCCGTATTTTGCTCTGGCGAACCGAGCCCAAAGCGTTTTACCTTCGAGGACCCGCCATGCCAACTTACCCGCCATAATCTTCTTAGTGTCTAGCAATGAGCGAAAACCAAGGCCACCTTCATCTTTCGGCTGACATATAGTCGTCCAATTGATCCAATTAATCCCAGATCCTTCATATTTACCCCATAAAAATTTACGAAAAAGCCTCTCCATTCTGACTATGGTTTGCTTGGGAACCACGGCTGATGAAAGAGTGTGGGTGGGCAGGCTAAAAAGAACCGAACGTACCAATGTAATTCTACCACCAAACGATAGTAACTTCGATTGCCATCCTGCCAGCCGATGTTGAACCTGTTGGATCAAATAATCAAAATGTTTCACGAGACAACGGCCTTTGTATATTGGAACCCCGAGATATTTCAACGGCAACGAATTATGGGTGCAGCCAGTCCATTCTTTAAGGAGATGAATTTTAGTATCTCAGATCCTCTTAGATGTGTAAAATCCACTCTTATCCAAATTAATCAGCTGACCAGACGAATCCTCGTATTTTTTTAGCATGTGCCTTAATCTCGTGACCGATTTTTTGCTGCCATTGGTGAATAAAAGCATATCGTCCGCATAAAAAAGATGTGAGATGTGAAGCGAGCCTCGACGGACTTTATACTTTTTACTGCGTTCTTGATCCTCCAATCGTTTAATATTGAGAGTGAGAATTTCTTGGGCGATGATAAATAAAAGTGGAGAAAGGGGATCACCTTGACGAACTCCTCTGGAAGATTTGAAATGACCGTACGATTCCCCATTAATTAATATAGAATACCAAATATTGGAAAATGATCTATATAGTAGATCGCACACTGGGTGTGAAAATCCCAGGGCGTGCAAGGCTTTAAGCAAAAACCTCCATTCCAATCTATCGTAGGCCTTAGACATGTCAAATTTAAATATAATATTTCCACCTTCAACTTTTCGGTCGATATCCGAAACCAATTCTTGCGCTATAGCAATCGATTCATGGATGCTCCTGTCTTTCAAGAACCCTGATTGTTCTTCCGAAATTATCTGAGGTAGGACTGCGTTTAATCGCGAAGCAATAATTCTGGAAATAACCTTGTTAGCAAAGTTTCCCAAGCTGATTGGACGAAATTGAGTAAGGTTTTCCGGATTAGAAACCTTCGGCAGAAGAAAGAGAAGAGTAGTGGACATGCATTTCGAGAGATAGTCCCCTTGAAAATAGCCACTAACTAGCAGCATAAAATCTTCCTTGATTATACTCCAACATCGAACATAAAAGTAACCTGTGAAACCATCTTGCCCGGGAGCACTATCCGGTGACAAATCTTTAATAGCCTTGTAAACTTCATCTTCGTCTGGGATTTCACAAAGTTTAGTATTCATTGTTGTAGTAACCTTAGCTTCTACATGTGAGAACAGATCTTGATCAAGATGGTAAGGAGTAGCGTGAAAAAGATCATCAAAATAGGCCAATGCTTTCGCCCCTATAAGTTGACAGTCTGACGTGAAGGAACCGTCGTCGAGCTTGAGGGTAATCTGATTCCTTTTCTTTCTCTCTTTGATCCGAGCGTGGAAATATTTGGTGTTTCGATCTCCTTCCTCCAGCCATTTAACTCGAGCTTTGGTAGCCAAAAGTGCATTCTCCCATTCTAACTGTTGAACGAGGTCCGTTTTTGTTTTTTGGCATTCTGTGAACAAATCATCTTCCCATGCATGGGAAAGACGGGCTTCCATATCCGCTATATTACTTTGCATGGAAGAAATATTATCCTCGAGTTTCCCAAAAACCTCCCAATTCCACTTTCTAAGAGCCTTGCGAAGGTTGGCCAACTTACTCTCAAAATTAGCACGACCGCCAGGAATAATCTGTTGCCAAAAAGTGGCAACAAAATCTTGGTAATTGTGGTGCTCCGTCCACATTTTTTGAAAGTAGAAACGAGATGGCTTAGTTTGCAGCTGGCCAAAATTGAGAAGTAATGGGCAGTGGTCAGATTCCAGCCTCGGGAGATGATCCACTCTGGCCGAAATGGCAGTGAAAGCCTCTGCGTTCAACAAAATTCGATCTAATCTTTGCCAAATGCGATTTTGACCCCGTTGATTATTACTCCAAGTGAAGATATTACCCACGAAACCTGCATCTGTTAAGCGAGCATCAACTAAAAAGTCATTAAAATCTTGCATCCCCGGCATATGTGCGTTCGATCCTCCCTGCTTTTCATCTAGAGTTTTGATAACGTTAAAGTCTCCACCAATCACCCAAGGCTCATGACAAGTGCTACTGTGATGAGATAGGTAATCCCACAAAGGTAATCGTTCCTGCCGATTGCATTTAGCGTATACGAAGGTCATCTTCCCAGAAAAAATATTTGGAATCACCACTTCCGCAGTAAGGCATTGAGGATGAATCTCCAACGTCTGCCAATTCACCTCGTCTCTCCAAAACACCCATATATAAGGATTGAGAGGGTTTCCATGAGTATAATTCTTGTAACCAGTCTGTTGTGCAATTTTTGTAATTTTATTAACTTGTTGTTTAGGCTCCAAAATAGCAACTATTTGTGGTTTACGTTGTGTAATTATCTTTAAAAGATATAGAAGGGATTTCGGGTTCCCCGCACCTCTAATGTTCCAGATAAGAACAGACATTAAGAAACAACGGGGTTCGGTGGTGCTTCTATATGAATTTCTTTTCTCGGTCGACCCGGCCTTCGTTTGGTCTTAGTAGGAGATTTAGTTTTTTTCTTCGAACTTGGTGCTGATTCCAGTGCTTGAACGTTAGTTTCAGCTGCCGAAACTCGTACCTTATCTACTTCTTCCGAAGTTTGAGATTCGTTATCTTCATCTTCATGCGTTTGCCCATCGGAGATAGAGCCTTTATCCATGTAACGAGATTCCATATTAGATATAAGTTCATTTTCGGTAGTTTTATAATTCCCATCTTTAACCACTAAATGCCCTAGTTTCTCCTCGTCAAGAAATTGAAAAGCTGTGTCATTTGGACTTGTAAGTGCGTCATCTTCCACTAAAATAGCGTTGATTGCGTCTTGGGTAATTCGGGCCCCCATATCCACCGCTTCCCTATTCTCATGTTCCAATACTTCGAATTGATTCTCGATAATAACATCTTCAGAGCTTTTTTTGTCAGTATATGATGGTCCTGGAAGATGAGGATGTGGAGTTGGGGTTTTCTCCAAAACAACTCCGATTGATTGATGTATTCCCTCATTATCTTGCATTACTTTGTTTCCAGTGTCTTTGGTGCGAAGGCGGCCATCATTTTGCTGCCATTCTTGATGCTGCTCCGGACGTATTCCAATCGACGGAACAGGAGGGATTATATTTTTATTATGTTGCTGCCCCCGTTGTTTCTTTCTACAATCACTGTTCAAGTGACCCAATAATCCACAATGTGAGCAGAAGGCAATGTTACCTTCATACTCAACTTTTTGCCAAAAACCTTTATCCTTCGATTCGCCGATCCAAATTCTTTGAGGTAAGTATGTAGAAACATCAACTTCTACGCATAACCGAGCATACATCAGATTTTGAAAATTGATGCTCCTTGCATCTGTTCGGAGAAAATTGCCAAGTTGATTACCAATTCTTTCCAGGTAAGGCAAAGTAAAATAGTAAAAGGGGAGCTTTGGGAGACGGATCCATGCAGCAACCCTTGTACTATCTTTATCGAAATTGAAATCTTTCGTCCAGCGTGAAATACGAAACATAGAGGTGCCAATGGAATTAGAATCCCGTGCTAAAGCCATAATCATATCGTCATAGTCGGCTGGAATAAGCAAAATATGACGAGGATCAATCAGACTGATCACAGGCTCTTTGGAGAGATTCCAAGATTGATATATCTTCGTACGGATATCATGGAGACTCGGGCGACCTCTGGAAAATTTCATGATTAACGCGTGCTCAAATTGCTTTGAGGTGAGATCCATCTCTAATGATGAGAAGAAAACGGCTGGAGCCTCTTCAATAGACGTAAACTGTTGAGGTGGTAGCGAGAGATTGATAGGATTGAACCATACAGGTGGTGGCTTCGGAGCAGCCGGTGTAATTACCTGGGCGAAGGTACGAACAACAGTGAAAATAATTATCACATTATAAATAATAAAGTCTACACGGATAATAAAAATGGTTAAATACAAAGACACCCCTGTACTATGGACTTTGTATCATTTACCCCTCGTGTACTACACATAAATACAAAAACCCCCCTCACATTGCATTTTTTCCAGAATATGACGAAAATACCCCTACTCAAGCATATATATATATATATATAATATATATTTTGAGCCATTTTCCACTATATATTTTACCATTTTCGGTCAAATTTACGTTGAAAATTTTGGTATTTATACTTTTTTCTCCAAAACATCTAATTGCTTACATCTTTTTATTTTCTTAATACAACCTTTTATTTTTGCCATTTTGAGTTTCTTCATTTTTTTTCTTAAATGTATTCCGGTAGTTCAAACATCCTAAGATTACAAACATCTTTACAATCCTATTATTGTTGATAATGTGAACTACCGGAAGACATTTAAGAAAAAAATGAATAAATTCAAAATGACAAAAATAAAAGGTTTTTATTAAGAAAATTTAAAAAAAAAAATCTAAGTAATTAAATGTTTTGAAGGAAAAAATAAAAAAATAAAATTTTCCAAGTAAAATTGACCGAGAATGTTAAAAAATATAGTGGAAAATGGCTCAAACAAACCCTTATATTTATAGGTTTAGCAGGGGTATTTTCGTCATATTTTGGAAAAAATATAATAGCAGGGGGTTTTTGTATTTATGTGTAGTACAGGGGGGTAAATGATACAAAGTCCATAGTACATGGGTGTTTTTGTATTTAACCCTAATAAAAATGATAACCTATTAGGAGAATCAAATATAATAAGAAAAAATTAATAGTCATTAAAAATAAATTTCTTTTAGTAATTGAACTTCAAGGATAATAAAACAAGAAGATGAACTTCAATTCATACCATCAATTCCACATCAAGGTACATTTATGCATTCTCTTGCTGAACAAAGTTTGCTTTTCTTATATACATGTTACTGCAAAATAAATTAGAATATATTACAGTTTCACCTCTTTGATTTCATCTATTAAAAGTTGTTCATGTATAAACAAATAAAAATGCAAACAAAGAAAATATATTAATAAAAATCCTTTCGTATGCATGAAAGTTGTTCTTCACAAGATACATTTATGAATATAATGTTAGGCAGTGTATGTGGTTCAATTTTTGAAAAGTGAGCTAGTAAACTAAAATGGCAGAAGAAGAGAAAAATTGATTGAAGGGTTTAGGAGAAAATTTAGAGGGAATTGAAGGGTTATGATAATTTTTGGTGAATATAATGTTTGTTCGAACGGGAAAATGAATCTGAATTATTTTGGCGGATATTGAGCGCTAATTCTACGTTTTTCCTTTTTATTTTTATAAAAAAAAAATTTGTTGAGAAAGAATTTGTTGAGAATTTTTTTTAATATTTAACTTTAAAAAATACTTAAAAAAACTTTTAAAAAACTTCAAAAAAGGTTAATTGTTTTTTTTTTAAATTAAAAGAATACTTAAAAAACTTCTTCATTGTTTTAAAAACATATTTAACGTTTTTTTTTAAATACTTCAAAAAATTATTTTTATTTAATTTGACCGTTGGAAATATTTTTCTTAAATACTATATATATATATATATATATATATATATATATATATATATATATATATATATATATATATATATATATATATAAAATTTTGACAAGAAATTAATATATATAGTTTTTTTTCTTCAGAAAAACCGGTTCCACCGGTTCTAACCACGTTTCTAACTGCCGGTTCTTGGTTCAAAAAATGGGGAAGCGGAACCAAACCGGCTTTTTCGGTTCCGGTTCCGGTTCGCTTCCAAAACCGTTGACCCTGGTTCGGTTCCAGTTCTGGTTACGGTTCTAACCGAACCGGTGGTCATGTCTAATTTTTACTACAATTTTGTGGCAGTAACATTAATGTTTTTTCACTGTAACATTAGTTGTTTTTACATGATAATATTTATTGTTTTTCACAGTAATATTAATATCCACAGTAATATTGCAGAACAAGACGATAATCTTAATATTAACACAGTAAAATTATTGTATGAGACAGTAATATTGCATCGAGACAGTAACATTAATGTCTCAAACAGTAAAATTGCAGTATGAGACAATACTATTAATATTAATACAGTAACAAATAGTAGTATTACTGAAGACAATAATATTACTGAAAACAGTAAAAAAAACAAATGTAAAAAAAACCAGTTGCAAAATTTTGTTTCCAGGGTGAGACAAAAGTGGTGTTAAAATTGATTTTGGGTCAAAATTGGTTAATTGGTTAACTGGTGAAATTGAAGCTAAATTAGGGGTTTAAATCATGAAATTGGGGTGAATTGGGATTTCAATGAGTTATGGGTAATTATGGTATATATAAAAGTTTTTTCCTTATTAACAAATAAGTTTGAATACTGTGGTCCGTGTGGATATATCTATAAAATAAAATAGGATGTCCCTCTTTTAATTAAGAAGCCTTGTCATTGGTCTATTTACCATTTGCCCTAGTAAATTTAAGCAAGATACTTCTTATACGTAAGGGGCCTTAAGCAGTGATGAGTCCAAGAATGTGATACAGAGTTGGCTTAAATTTTCGCGGGTACGGGGCCAGCTCCCACGAAAACAATTTAGGATTTATGGGACAAAATAAAAAAAATAGGGGTAGAAAAGAAGAAGAAAGAATGGGTTTTTTGCATAATTTTGAATTTTTGGTGGATTAATTAATAATAATTGGGGCTTTTTTTTTTGCATTAATTTTGATTTTGGGTGGGTTAATTAATAAATATTGGATGGGTTTAATAGATATATATGTATAACATGGGGAAAATTTTGTTATTTAAGGGTGGGCTTGAGTCCACTCTTCCAAAGGGGTGGACTCGCCCCTGGTCTTAAGATATAGTTTTCTTGTGACAAAACTGATTATAATTAAATCACAAGTCTAACTAAACATTCGCTTCACATACTTTATAATATTCATTACCGTCGGCACAAAAAAAAAATGAAATATCCACCAAGTAATATTTAAACTCCATTTATCATTTTTTATTTTGCATAACATTTTATTTTTGCATCTAACATTTGTTTTTTTTAATGTAAAATACGTTTCTCTCTTTCTTTTTCATTTTAGTATTTTTTCAGTATTATAAAAATCTAATTCTTTTCTTTTTTTACATAATATTGAAAAGGGGTTTGATAGACGCAAAAGAGCTTAAGGTTGGTTGCAGAGTAATTATCAATATAATTTTAAAAACTCTACAATATAACAAATTATTTCATTTTCAATCTCGTAAACTGTTATGGTTTTTCGAATTTTATCAACTAAGAAGCGACAATAAACCAATGATCCCAATTTTCATGTAAAATTCTCATTTATTCAGAAGAAATATGGTTATTCCATGTTGGTCAAAACAGAAATCATATACACGATTATGGATTCCGTATTTTGTGCTATAAACAACACGAATTCCATTTTGAACAACAAAGGGAATAGCGTAATTTTATTTATTTATTTATTTGAGACATACAAGATTAAAGAATCGTAAAAATATAAAATTTGCCTCAAATCTGTTATTATGTTGAAAATTTGTTATAAATGTTACGGAGTAATTTTCAATATAATTTAAAAAACTCTACAAGTTAACAATTCTTTCATTTTCAATCTCGCAATTGTTACATTTTTTCGAATTTTATCAACTAGGAAGTGACAATAAACAAAATAGACGACGATTATACCAATTTTCAAGTAAATATCTCGTTTATTCGAGAAAAAAATATGGCTATTCCATATTGGTTAACATGGAAATCTTATACATAATTTCGGATTCTGTATTTCGTATTAAACAGGACATAATTTTAAAAAATGAAAAGCTGAAAAATGGGTTCCGTTTTGAACAAGGGGAATAGCATAATATATTTTATTTATTTATTTGAGATATACATAATTCAAGAATCATAAAAATATAAAATTTGCCTCAAATTTGTTATTATGTCGAAAATTAGCGTCGAGATATTTTTTTGATTGATAGAGTTTGAGGTAAAGTAAAATTTTGAAATACAAAAAAGAATAATAATAAATATTGAAATTACTATGTGATCTATCAATATCCTTTTAAGTATTGAAAGTTATAATTTTTTTTGATTTTTTCGGCCGTGATCATCTATAAACACCCGTAGGAAAACGTAGAATCCGTAGTCACCCACATTCATATGTAATCACATATTCTTAAAACCCTAGCTCCCTCTTTAATCCTTGTCGATAGAGACATTTATTCCCTCATAGACATCTGTAGACATCCAATTGAAAAACTCCTCAATCCGCCCCACCACCACCACCACTCCATTCTGCCACATCCACAGCGCACCAAGAATGCCAAGCACCCAACCTGCGACACCAAGGTCACGTACCCCACACACGCCGTCATCCCTCACTCAAGCATTACCGCGCCGCCAATGCAATCCCCCAGCCCAAGCGCCGTCCCCCACCAAATTAACCCTAGCCTCCATAGCTGCCGCCTCCGACCATCGATCTAACCTCAAACCACCTTCTCTAATTGCCATAGCCATAGCCGCGGCTTCCTTACCTCCATAACCATCCCCCTTGTGCGGCCGCCATCATAGTCGCCACCATAATCACAGCCACCACCTCCCTCAACCATGGAGAGAGAGAGAGAGAGAGAAAGAGAGAGATAGATTAAAGAGGAAAAATAGAGTTGATGGAGAAACGTGATTATGGGTTATAATGAGTTTCACTCTGTATTTTCCGAGCTTGCGAAGGTATTTACATGTGCAGCCCATTTAGGTTGTCGGAATCTTATTTTTTTGTTCTTTATGTGTGTGTGTCTTGTTAAGAAACAACTGATGGCTTGATAGGCACAAAATTAAACTGGAAATAATTACGATAAATATAAAAAAGAAAGAAAAAAGAAGACCATATTGACAATCATTATCAATTAATTAACAATCTGAAAGAAAAAAAACGATAAATATAAAAAAGAAAAAATAAATAAAAAATCAATTCATAAAGATGGAAGCCATGATAGCAACATGGAACAATCATATCGGACAATCATCATCTTTGCCGGTGAGTTTTGGCAGGTTGTCCGGATCAGAGGAAGAAAGGCCGCCGCCGCCGTTTACTACTACCGGTGATCGGCCGAGGACGTTGTTATAGTCTCGCCAGCAACAGAAGTACCCTATAAGAAAAAAGATAATTGTGATGCATAACAAAGCCACAAGATATTTTATACTACCTCTCTCCATCTTTTTTCTTCTTTAATTTTCAAGAAAATACTATTATATTATTCAATCTTCCCCTATATTTACCGTTCACAATCTTTATATAGCGTACCAACAAATAACCTAATTCCAAAACCCTAACTAGCTAGGAAACCAACTTTAATCTCACTAGGAATCTATCTAATAATCTATTTGTAAGAATCCAAATAGGAGTCGTATTCTTTTCTGGGTTACGTCACTGGTGTGAATTATTACTCATTAATAAAACGTGTGTGTGTAGAATCTTTTGGAACAAGGATTCTTTCTTCTCATATGTCCCACACGTATGTGGAACTAAAACAGATCCATGAGATAATCCCATTTTATTTTTTGGAATTTATTTGTTGTCATTTATTTAATTGGCTCAATTATTTTATGGGATAATTAGCAAAAACCCCATCATCTAGAAAAATGAGTTAAGAAAACAGCTCCTCCCAAAAATAATTAGAGAAAACCCCCTTAGCTAATATTCCACTTATGTGATATTTTCATAATTCCAAAATTACCCTTAATTGTCTATTATACTCTTTCAAAACTCTAATCTTATTTTTATTTTTTTAATTGAATTTTATCATAAAAACTAAAAAAATTAATTCCTAACATACGTAAGAATACGATTTGAATCGATTAAGCTCAAATCCGTTCAGTTCGTAAACATTATTCAAAGATTTGAATCGAGTAAGATCAACTATTGACAATAACGTATTAATAATTAAGTATTTATAGTTAAAGTGTATTATCTTTTTACTTCAATCTTTTAATAATAAAATAGTAAAATTTAATTCCTAAAATACGTAAGAATCAAATTGTAAGATTTAATCGGCTTCTTCGGTATACCTGTATATGAGGTTCACTCGCAGCACATGGGATGCCATGGGGATGAACATGGTTTCTAAAGGTGTCCAGAATGTCATAGACTTCCTCAACAACGAGTTTCCTGACATGGACGTTATCGAAATCTCAAACAACTACTGTTCGGACAAGAAATCTGCTGCGGTGAACTGGATTGAAGGGAGGGGAAAATCGGTTATGTGCGAGGCCATCATCAAGGAGGAGATTGTGAAGAAGGTGTTCAAGACTGATGTTGCTTCATTGGTGGAGCTGAACATGCTCAAAACCTGACGGGTTCGGCCATGGCAGGAGCTCTGGGTGGTGTGGTGACGATGGGTAGGCTGATTTTGGGTTTTTTTCTTTTTATCGGACGGAGGACGGCGCGTGTAGAGAATTTCGCGCATGGTGAAACCTTAATCGACTATGTACATGTTCATAGTCGATTAAGCTAATCGACTATGTTCTGGTAGTCAATTAAGGTTGATCGACTCCAGTTTTTTTTTTTTTTTTTGGATTTCATGTTTATTGATTTCAATTGTATAAATCATTTATAATGTTTGTATATTTTTTGTTTTTTGTAAAATATAGGTTATTTCCGTTTTTTCGCAGTTGTAATTTGTTATGTTTTAGTAGAAGATTCTTAATCGACTATTCTTCGTCATAGTCGATTAATATACCTGATATAGAAAAAAAATTAAAAAATTAAAGAATTTCCTTAATCGACTATGCAGAAAAAAAAAAAAACGAAAAAAGAAAATAGCTAAGCGCGTGACTCAGTGATGATGTGGCAGGCGGGGGCAAAACTGGAAAACATAATGGCTGAAAATGGGTGTGGACTTTTTTCAAATGGAGAAAAATATTTTGGACCTCCCTTCATGAAAAAAAGTAATGAGAGAGAGAGAGAGAGAGAAACGTGATTATGGGTTATAATCAGTTTCACTATGTGTTTTCCGATCTGCAAATGTGTATAAGCTCTTGCGAAGGTATTTACATATGCAGCCTATTTATGTTGTCGGAATCTTATTTTTTTGTTCTTTATGTGTGTGTGTCTTCTTAAGAAACAACTGATGGCTTGATGATAATCACAAAATTAAACTAGAAATAATAACGTTAAATATAAAAAAGAAAGAAAAGAGAAGACGATATTGACAATCATTGTCAATTAATTAAGAATCCGGAAACAATTACGGAAAAAAAAAAAAAAAGAGCAATTAAAGATGGAAGCCATGATAGCAACATGGAACAATCATATCGGACAATCATCATCTTTGCCGGTGAGTTTTGGCAGGTTGTCCGGATCAGAGGAAGAAAGGCCGCCGCCGCCGTTTACTACTACCGGTGATCGGCCGAGGACGTTGTTATAGTCTCGCCAGCAACAGAAGTACCCTATAAGAAAAAAGATAATTGTGATGCATAACAAAGCCACAAGATATTTTATACTACCTCTCTCCATCTTTTTTCTTATTTAATTTTGTGGGTTTGATTTTCCAACAAAATACTATTATATTATTCAATCTTCCCCTTTACCCTTCACAATCTTTATATAGCGTACCAACAAAATTATAACCTAATTCCAATTGTAACAAACCCTACTAGGAAACCAAATTTATTCTCACTAGGAATCTATCTAATAATCTAATTGTAAGAATCCAAATATGAGTCGTATTCTTTTCTATGTTACGTCAGTGGTGTGAATTACTCTTTAATAAAATAAAACGTGTGTAGAATCATTTGGAAGAAGGATTCTTTCTTCTCATATGTGCCACACGTATGTGGAACTAAAAAAGATGACATAATCCATTTTATTTTTTTTGGAATTTATTTGTTGTCATTTATTTAATTGGGTCAATTATTTTTCGGACAAATAATATTTTTTCTTAAAAAAAGATTGAAAATGGGGTGAATGTGATATATTTATTAAATCTGGGGCTAATGTGCAATATTGATGAAGTTAGAGTATAATGAATGAATGTGATTTAAATAATATAAGGGGAAATATGCAATACCCGTCAAATGGGAAATATTTTGAACTAAACTCAGTTGACTTTAAACTTTAAAGACTTTTGCCTACACCCAATTTTCATTCTTAATAAGTGAGACCTCAGAATAGTCTGAGAAGACAAAAATACCCTCAAGTGCAATAACACTAATTACTTACCCACCTCTATCATATGTGTGTGTGTGTGTGTGTGTGTGTGTGTGTGTGTGTGTGTGTGTGTGTGTGTGTGTGTGTGTGTGTGTAAGATATGGATGTATTAAATAAAATGGGTATTAGAAAAAAGTTTTTTAATTTGACAAAAAAAAAAAATTTAATTTTGTGAAATAAAAACATCAATATCATAGAAAAAACTACCAAGTTTAAACTGTAGAAACTAACAATAGAAAAATATATAAGAGTGCAAGCAAAAATAAATTAGAGTAACACAATGTACATGAGAGAAAAATGGTAAGAGGACAAAAGAAGTCGGGTGAAAAAAAAATAGATAAAGATAAATGACAAGATAGATTGGATCAAAAAAATTAATGTGGAAAGTGGGTGTTAAATAGTTAAGAGATGAAGAGAAGAGGGGTTGGAAGAAGAGAAAAGAAAAATAATTATAAAATAATAACAAAAAATATATATTTTTGGGCCCCATTGAAAAGTGGGCCCTGGGCCTGGGCTGGGCCAGGGCCGGCCCTGGCTATAGTCACATATGAGATATTAGATTATATTCATATTCAACTATAGTCATATTCGGCGTATTAAACCTGTCGAAAAAAAAATTCAATTTTTTGTTTCAAAAATTTTTAAAAACAATTTAAAAAAATTATAAAAAAATTAAAAAAATATTTTTATTAAAAAATATTAAGAATAAAAAAAATGCTAAATAAATTCGAAAATAATAAAAAATAAAAAAATTATTTTTTTTATTTGGTTGCAGATTTTTTGGAATTTTGAAGCAGATTTTTAGGGATTAGATTTTTGTTATGGAAACAAAGAAAAAATGCACAATTGCGATAAACCATGCTAATTAACGTAAGGGTAGTATTGAGACTAAAATTTCTAGGGGTTTATCACAAATACGATTTTAGGGGTGGACATATCACAATTTCTTAGTTATATGTAGGACGGACAATTGAGCCGGGCCAAACTGAAGTCCGATGGTTTGGCCCGATTATATTTGAAGTGTGTCTACTTTATAGTGAACCCGACCGAGTTTGAGCCAATTTACTAAACTTGATTTATTTACGAGCCGAGTTTGAACCTACTATGGCTCAACGCGAATAAGGCCCGACAGATTAAATTAATAATAAACTATATAATACGTTTATTATTTTAATGCTATGATTCAACATACAAGTTACGACCGTATAAGATTATTTTATTATGCAAAGAAAAAAAGTCAAAATAAAAGGAATTAAGTGGTGGCGGTGACAATAAGTTAAATAGGAATCAAATGCAACATTCCCACCGAAATCCAATTGCTAATTTATCATCGAGATTTGAGAATATAATGTTTCCAATAATAAGTGTTACTAATTTTTTTTTTACTTCTTTCAGTCTTATTTTTAAGTGTTTTTCCAATAACTTACAAAGATCGTTTATGGTTTTTTTTAGGACCGACTTCAATGCAGGTAAATCATATCCATCACTTGTTTTTATAATTTTTTTTTACTCAATACAGATATATAGTAACTAGCATTTTTTCCCGTGCGATGCACGGGATATTATTTCAAGAGTAAAAAAAAATTAATTTAATACTTAATAAGAAAATATAGTACACGCATATAGTAAAATTTAATAATGTAGTATTATTCATATTTTATATAATATTAGTTTGTTTAGATTTTACATATTAAGATTTATAATCCAAATATATAGATTTAGATTTAACAAATCGAATTTTTATCTTTATCTCTTAAGATTTGAGATATATTGATGAAAAATATGAGATTGATAATTGTTGAAAAGTTGTAGAGAAAAAATATTAAAAATAAATAATTAAAGAAATTCCATTAGGGGTTTTTAGGGTTGCCCAGCGTTTCTTTCTTTTATATATAAGATAAGATGGGGCCAGAAATAAATCCAAAACCTGAAAAAATACATGAACGGAGCTTGAGTCTATACTAATGACGAGGTACGTGAGCTTTAGCCTATAATAACGAGGCCCGATAGTATGTGAGCTTGAGCCGACCCAAAGAAAAGGTCGGCTCACATGGTCCGATTCTCAACCCTAGCTGTATGAGGGGCTTATTGCTAATGACTTAATTATATAGAATAGACTATAGAGATGTCCAAACTATTTTGCACCATTTGATAAAAGTTCATTCCTAATTTCAACCACCATTTTTTTCAAATATGCCCTTGCCAACTCGACAACACTATCACAAATTGTCCCTGCCACCTCATCACCTTTTTTTTTTTTTTGGAATTTTTGAATTTTTTTAATGTTTTATTAAAAAAAATTAACTTTTTTATCTTCACGTTTTTTGACTTTTTTTTTATCTATCATGTATATTAATCGACTATGAGATATAAACATAGTCGATTAAGAAACTGACTACTAAAAACAATAAAAACACAACTATGTAAAAACGAAAATCGACACTATTGTTATATAACAAATAATATACATAAATTGTAATTGATTTATACAAATCAGAATTAATACACAAATATCAAGAAATGAATTAAAAAATGAAATCAAGTAACATTAATCGACTACCAAAATAGTCGATTAGCACTTTAATCGACTACCAGAGCATAGTCGATTAACTTAATCGACTACCGAAAAAATACATAGTCGATTAAATGGTCCAGCCTGCGCGAATTTCTCTACCCGCGCCGTCCTCCGTATAATCTACCAAAAAACCATAGATCTGCTCCTCGTCGTCACCACGCCGCCGCCACACCACACCATCACCACCACATTTCCATATTCTGACGGTTTTTAATGACAAATAAAGTAAATTACAACCCGCGCCACCAACCCAAACAAAACCACCACCAAAACAAAGCCACACAAACCCAATTTTCTTTATGACCACCGCCATATCAAAAAATAGGCAGCAAAATCAAATTAAAAATCCATAACCTGCTGCGACGAAGAAGAAATCTTCACAAAATCGAAACGAAGAGCAATCAGACGTCTCTACTACAAACCAACAATTGAAACGAGAAACAAAATTGACCACCAACAATCGCCGGAATCATATCGCAAAAACACACTGGGAGATAGATTTGAAAGAATTAATCAAAATTGATAAAGAAATCAGTGGAAGATTCTACCTTATCCGAAAATTGGGGTGAACTATGAAGATCGGAGGGGCAAAGTAGAGAACCGTAGGCCTGAATCGGATAAAGTCAGAG